CCAGCAGCAGTGAAAAGCCGAATTCTATATTTTAAGAAATAATAATAAAATGCTATATAGGTTTAAAGTAGGTTTAAGTTTATTTTTAACCGACTTCCAAAAAAGGAGGAGGTTATCAGTTCGTCGGAACCTTTTTTTTTTTTTTTATGAATGTTACCGCATAACTTTGGACCACTTCATCCGATTTCGATAATTCTTTTTGCAACGGAAAGGTAGTGTCTCAGAGGTGGTCCCATACTAATTTGGTTTTGATCCGATCATTGGATCATATATATAGATATATATATATTTCTTTTTTAAGTCGGTTTTTTTTTTGCTAAAAATTACTTGTATACTTATTGAGAATACACATAAGGTGGTGTTGTTTCATTAACTGTGAGTGATGCGAGATGGTCAAAATTTCGCTAGTGAGCGGCCGAAAAAATGAAAGTATTTGTATTTTCTTCCCGAAATTTGACAATAGCTCATTAAAAGCAAAAGCACTCTACATGTAATTCTTATATTTGTCAATTATATGAATTCGCATCTGTTACGCATAGCGCAGGACAGATGATAGCTGGGCGACAACCACCGAACAGCGGCAAAAACAAACAGTATTTTCTTTTTACACCGACCACATACACACAGTTCAATAGTTCAAGTAAAAGCAAAAACTTAACCGTCCTGTAACGTTATGCGCTGAACTGTAGTGAACTAGAATGCTACCAGTTTGCGTTTCAACCCACCTAAGTAGTTCGCGTTATACCTTTTCTATGTTAGCGACTGGTATTTTTAACATGGCAATGTCGGCCGCTGTGGTGTAGTGTTTAGCTTCAAGCCCTTGTCAAAGCAACATCGCAAAGAAATATAGGGCCCTATTATGAGTTGCATTCGATCTTCGAAAGTGGTCGAAAGTACTGATAGAACGAATTTTCATTTGGTATTATGGCGCACATTCGATGAAGAATAGCGCTATTGTGAATTTCGTTCGTTTACGTTGTTCGCAATAGTATATTTTCACCGCTGAGAAGCTTTGTTTATAAATCGAGCAAACTAAATAGTGTGCTTATATGTACATATGTAAATTTGTGCAAATTAAAATGAAATAAAAAAGAAGGCGAGTTTATAAAAACGTGGTAAAAATTAGTACAACGGAGTTCTCGTTCAACCACTCTGGTTCAACGACTTGTAAGAGGATGAGAGCTTAGAAAACTGGCCAGGAGCAGAAAACGTTTCAGAGAGTTTAAGTGTAGTCTTTCCAATAAATTTAAGAAATTTTGTGATCCAAATCTATTTAAAATATATTAAAACTATAAACAGCTCTATGATTTTGTTCTGAAAAATCGTGCCAACCGAGTATTGGGATTTTCTTTCATAATTAAAACCAGACTTTCGAGCTTGTGTTTAGTATGCACGACGTCTAACGTCACGTAACTGCATAAAATTAATACAAATTGTTTAAAATTAGTGTCTAGCCGCCAAAAAGTGAGAAAACAAATGCAAAATCATACATTTTTCACAATTTTCTAGCACTTCGCTACACCAACGAAAGCAAAATTCTGTTCAACAGAAAATTCGATATTCAACGAAAATTCCGACACGCTTGCATAGCTCATAATACGAATTTCACTTTCGATCTTCGATATAGAAAATCGAAGATAGAAAATCGAATGCAACCCATAACAAGTATGTATTTTATTTAATTTTGGTTTTTTTACGAAATTAAATTTACAATTTTAAATTTATATTTGTAATTACAGCCCATGACGAACCGGTATTACTTCCCCATTGAATACCAATTTACGAACAAGAATTTCTACCAACTAGTTTACTTTTTCCTACGAGGAACTGGTATAGTTATAGTTCATAAAAGTATAACAATTACATGTATTTTGTTTGTGCTTTTAGTGGGCTATTGTCAAATTTCAGAAAAAAATACAAAGATTTTTACTTTTCACTCGCTTACTAGCGAAATGTTGACAATCACGCATCATTCACAGTTAATGAAACACCACCTTATGCGTATTCTCAATAAGTATAAAATAAACTTAAACTGCATTTAAGCCTAAATAGCGTTTTATTATTATATCTTAAAAGATTAAGTTTTGCTTTCCACTGCTGCTGGAATAATAAACTAGCAGCTTTAGGTAATCAAACGCATGAACATATTATTGCTTGATATTGCTTGCCACAAAAGCGCACTTCGCGCCGAGGTGATAGCGCTTAAACATTCGTAGAAATTATTTTATTTATATGTACAAAATTTTCATGTTACATATGTATGTACATTGGAATATTTCACTTGAACGAAACACTACAAATAACGCTAACAAAAAACAACAGTTTTCTAACTAATTTGGAGCCGCCGAACACAAATACCGAAGTCCTTTATTTTTCCCCAAAAAATTAACCCTTAATAAAGTCAAGGGCTAACCTAAAAATTATATCCCTCTTTCATTAAAAGAAAAAAATACATTCTCATATTTAAATATAAAAATTAATTACTTATACAAATTTAAAAATTTCATCAGAAAAAAACATTCGAAAACATTTAATATTATCATTAAAATATTGAAAAAATTTTCAGTTTATTTACATATCGCACACCGTCTTCAAAAGAGGCACCACTCAAAACTAAGATTCGGAAATGTAACTGCTTGTGGATCATAAAGATTCGACGCAATTGATCCAAAAAACAGACAACAGTTTTCTAGTTATATAATAAAATCATAAAGAAAAAATATTGGCATTAAATTGAGAAAAATCGACCAACATTTTTTTTGAGTTCTGCCTCTTTTGAAGACGGTGTGCCCTATGTTGTACTATATACATACATATATTTCAAATGGGTCGTCAGTTTATTTACAGTTAATAACACTTCCTTTTGGACTTTAAGGGGGTTCATGCAACACGGCTTTTCGAGGCTTTAGGCTGTTTGTAGACTGGGGAGGGGTAACACTGACACTCGCACGCTGGTCTACACACACATAAGGGAGTAGCTTGCCTGCTGTTGTAATTTGCAGTTGCTGACCACTGTCTTTCTCCACGTCATCCCACGGTTGCGTATGGCGAACAAATATAGATTCTGTTATATTATCCGATTCGTCGCCGCTTTTATTTTTGGGTATGATAGCTAATTTCGAGCTTTCAGCAGGTTTGCTAGTTTTAGTCACCAGCGAGTACTGAGCGCAACGCTCCTCTTCAGCTAATTGTTGCTCATAGTTGGATATAAGCTCACGCACAGCAATTTTCACGTACTCCTCTTCTCCTTCTTTGGCTTCTTCTTTTCGTTGTGGTTCTTCCTGGTTTTGTAAATTTCCCTGGTTCGAAACTTTTATTTCCAGCTGTTGTAGTTTTAATTTTTGTTGCTGCTGCATACGTCGTTCTCGCTGGCGCAAACGCTTTATCTCTTGTTGCTGCTCTTCCAACAGCTGGCTTTGGTAGGTTTCCAACAACTCCAATTGCTCACGGACCATTATGCGCTTTTCTCGCTTGTCCATACTTGAATCTTCGTTTTTTAAGTCCTTGTCTTGAACAAGTTGCTGTTGTTGTTGCTGCTCCTGATGTTGTTTGGTCGCATGAAGATGTCGCTCAACTCTATTTTCCTTTAACTCCCCGATCGCATTGTTGTATGCCAACAGATCCTTTGTCGATATGGGCGAAACCCTCAGCTCGGGCGAACGTATGAGATAATCAAGAAATTCACGTGGTTTCGATACTTTATTCTTATCAATATATTCTTCTTTTGGACGTCGAAGTTCGCTTTCCGACGCTGTTTCGGCAAATTTATTGAAAGCCACGATCTCTTGATCGTCCTCTCTATTGTCTATAGTCTCGAGATCTTTAAGTGTACCCCTTATAAGCCGTTCGCTTTCGTTTTCTATTAAGTAATGTTTCTAATTAATAATCCAGAAAAATTAAAAAAAGCGAAACTTGTTAAAAAAAAATTTAAACATTAAAGTAATTCATACACGGATACACCCATTTTAGGACCTCAATGAAATAATGTCCAAACGTTAGTATTTATACATGTTAGTGATTCATCGAATTACCTAAAATTCTATTTGTAAGGAAAATATACTAACATTTCGTTTAATCCGTATAACATATTCATCTTTAACCATTGAATTATTGTTTCTTCTGTGAACTTTTTACTACTATGTTTAGTGAACTTCTACGAAAATTCCTTTCCTCTTCCTTCCAGGCGTTAAACAATTCAACGAGGGTAAACTGTCGCTAAATTTTACTATAGTTGTCTAAAGACAATAATTATGTCTAAAGTCATTTTATACATGAAATTACATGTAAAACGATTATTTTATGACTAAAGATCGGACCCACATTCACCCAGTGTGGAAAAATTGTGTAACTAGATCCTTTTGCAGTTTGCTTACCACGCATGGATATTAACGTTTGACCTTACTTCGTTCAGCGCATAATTAAACTTTGAAATTGTTCAACAGTATTTTCTAGTTTGAGCTGATTTATTTTACAAAACGTTTTCGAATGGGTTAATGCAAATCGTTTACAATATTTTAGGTCGCACCGCAAATAAAACAGCGATCTTCGAAAAAAGGATTCTTACTCAAAACAATGTCACTTTAACAACATTTATTCTTTGTTTAAGCCTGATGGTATCCTAAAAGCTGATGCGTTATTTTTCTAATGCTCGGAGCGAAATAAAAATACAGCGCTCTATATTTTCAGCAACTGCTTTATCGATTTTTGATTCAAGAGAGAAACGGCTAAATTTCCTTTTCCAATGACGCCAGAAAATACTCTAAGCAGGCGCCTATTCAATATTCTTGGGCAAAATACTTTACGACGTGCTCTTTCTCTGAAATCAAATTTACTATCTGGTACACCACAGCATGATGCGGAAGTCAACAAATTTGCCAGAAGTAGCAGCATAGCTTGCTAAGCACTCACTAAGCTACTCCTCTGCCTCATAAGCACATAATTTTCATAACATTAAACTTTTTTTGTTCTAATCTTTGACATTTAATTTCTACTTTACCCACCTTTTGGTAATGTGACACTTGGTGCTTTCCATCCCTGCGGCAAGCTCGGCTTGTACGCTAAGTCCCGTTGAGGATTACTGCTGAAGTTTGGCTTACATGTTGGGAAGCACGCCTCATGTAATTTCTAAGAAAAGTGAAAGGAAGATGTAAATTTATGAAAAATATTATTAGATGCTATTTTGTTAGTAAGTGTTTCGATTTTTGCTTTAGGACAGCCAAGTACTGAAGATTTTTTTAGTATTCATTTAGTTAGTTTGATATAGAAATTAATTACACATTATTTACATTACCAAGCACATATGTGCCTGAAAAAAAAGAAAAAAACACTGCGGTATCTATAAGGAATTATTTAAGAATAACGTTCCGCAATCGCTCTGTTTAACTGACATGGCTACCCTTGATTTATACCAAATGTTCACCCCTGTGAAATTACCACTTCTAGGAAAGCATTTTGAAACGACTGAGATTATAAAGAAATGAGCATTGTAGTTTGTATGCTATTTCAATTTGAAAACTGCTCGTCTGCTTTTCTTAACCGCTTGTGCAAGTATGTGGTAGTTCATAATGTAAAACTTCACATCGCACCCTTAATAATAGAAAGAAATAATTCAGCATTTTTGTTTTTTTTTTTCAAAGTGCGGAGCTACATATATGTATGCTCTTCATCTGCTGAAGCTCTGAATTCGATTCTACATCTGCCTCCACTTGAAGTTATTGCAGTCTTCATATTTACTCAGGGTACCATGACATAACTCCAAGAGGTATAACTCAAATTTTAAAATTTGGAATTATGGCACTCCTTATGCAGTGAAAGAAAGCAGATTTTTTTACTCGGGGTTATATCCCTTCTTATAAGGTGTCATAACCCCAATTGGGATAATGTCACTTTTGAGCCTAAAGCATATTTGCCAGCTCTCAAGAAAATCGAAAAAAGCATATAAAAACACGCTCAAGAAATGAAAAACAAATTGTCTATTAAACGTTTTTCTGCGCAAAAATACTCCCGCCGCGATAATTTTACCTGTAAGGGTACATAATAAACAATTTCTTGTATTCACGTCGTGGAACCTCAACAAACTCAAACTCAAACTAAAACCAGCTTCTATGACAGTGTTGTGATAAAAATTTTATCATTACTGTTGCACATTTTAAATTCTTTTGGTTTGCGAAATTACATGAGGGATTTGTAATTTTGTCGCCTTTTAGTTTGGAAATATGTCACCAAGTTAAAAAATTGGGTTTATGTCACTACACAAGGGCATTGATATTGTGGAAATGGTCTTGGATTTGCATTTGGAATTGCGCTTGCAAATTTTATTCTAGCTACCACGGCAACCGTTTGCATTTTATTGTTATTAATTTACAAATGCCCCGAAATATATAATTACAAGATCATATGTATGCACAAAATCCTGAACCGCCTTATTGAAATACTACGCCAGCTTTTGCTGGGAGTTAAATATACGAGTAGATATGATCTGTGATTATTTCTAGCACATCATATAAAAAATTACATATTTTGAAATTCTACATTTTTGAGTTCTAAACTTTTCACTACACTCTCTTTATAGGTGTGATAAAAATCTCCCAAAATTCATTATAAGCTACCAACCATGATACAGAAAAGAATGTAGTTTCATTGTCACATTTCGGGCGCCATATTAACTACCTGACAATTAAGCAGATTGTGACATTTCATGCTACCATACCTTTCCCCAATTTTTTTTTGTTACAAAATAAACAGAAAATTTGTCTTTGCGAGCAGTTAGGAAATTTTAAATTCCTAAATACATCTTCATATTTGCAACAAAAGCAACCAACGACTTCAGTGAAATCAAAAATCCGTTAATATGTTGCCCACCGCAAAAATTATTTATTATTAAATGCACATATTTATTATAAAGCCAACCATCGCAAAAGGATTTGGACAGAATAATGTCCATGTGCTTCGCAAACGTTAGTTTGGAGTCAAATTAACTATCAGGTAAGTCTTTCATTTGTTTCGTATCTTCTAAGAAGAAGGATCGGATTTGTTCTTCATGTTGATAAAGGATTTAGCTTATTTACTTTCTGTATATCCAGATTACACCTAATGTAACTCCATCGCAGAACAATAAAGGGCCCTGCTGCTATGTGTTCCCGTGCAGTTCCCATTCTGGAGGAAATATATGCTACTTCATTGATCGTGACTTTGCTGTCTGGGTGAGCTCGTGGAATTTTAGTGCTAGTAACGCCAACCTGCTGTGAGACATAGTTCAATGGCGTAAACCCACGACTGACTGCGTGTCAAAAGCAGCCATCTGAGTTGAATGCCGTAAATTCCCACTCTGACACCATGGCCGATCTTAGAGCCGTCAGTATACCAGATGTGGCTATCTTTTCGGAGTTTAGGTATTGATTGTCAATGATATTTTACGTACATACATAAATCTACTTTCCGATGATTATGGTTTTTGAAATGTTTGGAGAAAACTAACTCAATTTTGATCAAAATGAATGGCCATTTATTTAGTATTGATCCAAATTATATATTTACAACTTTCTATTCAATAATAGTAATATTAGATGAAAAATCCTAAAATGTCATTTTTTTGGGAGAACCTTTTTTTAGAATAAGATACTTGAACATAAAAATAGAGTGAAAAACTTTAAATGTCTGCAAAAATGTCAACAAAATTACAACCTTGATTTTATTGTTTTGTTTCATGTCATTTAAATCTGTTTATTTCGTTTAAAATAAAATTACCTAAGAAAAAAATTTTTATTTATTACCATCTAAAGCTTTTTAATAAATAAAGTTGCCAAAACTGGATTTTTTTTATTTCCTCATCTCTGTAGATTGATATTCTTCAAAGGACATTTTACTATTCTATTAAATCACAAATATTTCATAAAAATCTCCCCTCCCAAAAAAATTCAATGTGGCTAAGCTATGCTTAATGTTTACATCTGGAGAAATGTCAAAAACCTGCTTTATAATAAAAAAATAGTAGTAATGAAACTACCCTCTTTTTTGTATCATGCTACCAACTACCGAAAAAAACAAATGCTACCACGGCAACACTGGATATAACACAGGACGCACAACATAAATTGGAGGAGAAGCTCGGCCAAATACTTAGCAAAAGTGTAAGCGCCAAGTATTGATTTTTTATTGCCCCTTTTATATCAACTCTTTTTCTTTTTTATACTTAGATTGCCGTTTCTTACACTAACAAATTCGCAAACATTTCGATAGAAAATAAAAAAGGAATTAATTTATCTATATAAAACTGCATTTAAGTCTGACGATAGCCTTTAATTTAGTTAAACTTCTAAGATTTTTTTGCGGCTATTCAAAAGGTCGCAACACTTCCTAACAGAGACATAATTATTATAAGAGAAAAGAATAAAAGTCAATCAATAACACAGGCCGACAAAATTTTTACCCAGAAACCAGACTATACTTTCCCGAAGGTATTCGGTGCGCTGAATTCAAATCTGGCCACAGAATTGCTCTATCACATCAGGATTTTGAGATATTCTAACCTATAAGTGCAAGAAAACCGTTTTTGCCCATTTTTGAAGTTGCGTATGCAAGCCAGAGTAATTTTTTTTTTTAATACAAAAAAAAGTGTTAAAGTACAAGTCTTTCTCTTTGAAATGGCGTTGAGTTTGCTCAAATATCTTTTTGCTTTGCTTCGCAAAAAGTGCTGCGAATAGTACATATGGCCGCTATGTTACCTACATGATTTACAAGATGTAGAAAAATTGGAAAATCCGTAAACTTAAAATTGTAATATCTCAGCGAAGCAAAAAGATATTTGAGCAAACTCAACGCCGTTTTAAAAAGAAAGACTTGTGCTTTAACACCTTTTTTGTATTTTTTTAAGAAAAATTACTCTGGCTTGCATACACAACTTCAAAAATGGGCAACAACGGTTTTTTGCACTTATAGGTTAGAATATCTCAAAATCCTGATGTGATAGAGCAAATCTGTGGCCAGATTTGAATTCAGCGAGTCATCTATAATTACTATTCAAGGACTTACATTATAAAAGTCCTTTCATAATAATTATCAGAGAGATAAATATTTTTAGGTCTTCGAAGACCTTAATTTTAAGACTTATATTACAAAAGTTTTTTCATAATAATTACACTGTGCAGCACTCGGTTGGGTATTGGACCAAACCAATTTTTTTTTAAGACTGAGTCATAACACTACGGAAAAATCAACTTTTTTTATGGGTATTGGACCAAACCAATTTTTTTTAAGAGATTGAGTCATAGGTAAAACGGTAATTTCTCCGTTTTTTCGAAGTTGGCCTCCGAAATCGAGATATGGGCCTTCGAAGTTCGAAATAGGACCTTTGGTAAAAAATTATATTTAATTATTGCATGTAAATAACTAAAAACCTAAAAATGTAGACGTAGTCCCCTATTTGCTCTCATTTAAATGGTATATAACTTTTTTTTGCAAACTTATATTACAGGTGCTATAAGGGGTCAAAGTTCAGGTCTTCGAAAAATTAAATTCCTTATAGTGCAAACAATTTTGAACTGATGTTTATACCATTGTAAAGGCGACCGAGCCCCCTTTCTTCCTATATGCATATTTGTATACTTCGTATATAAAAATTTTAGAAAAAACACATTTAAATGAAAAAATACCTTTTTTTAAAAAAAAAAAATATTTTAAACAAAAAAGATACTAACAGTTTTTTTAAAATTTGCTACCATTATAAAGGCGATTAAACCCCATTTCTTCTGATATGCATATGTGTATACTTCCTATATAAAATTTGAGAAAAATACTTAAAAGTAAAAAATACCAATTTTTTTTTATAAAAAATATTTTAAACAAAAAATTACTAATACGTAATACAATTGAATACTTTATTTAAATAAAACAGAAAACTACCTCTAATTTTCATATATAACCTGTTATGTGAAAAATCAAAAACCATGGTGTTTTTATATTTTTATATGCCTTAGACTTCTGTTACATATACTTTTGCTTTATTTTTAACAGGGCTGTGGGTGAACAAGAACGAATTAATGCTTGAAACACTAATAATTATTTGTTTTATTTAAACATGGTATTCAATATTATCTCTAATTAGTCATTTTTCTGTAATTTTTTTT